TCAGCACAAGGAACACCAGAGGTAAGAAAACAATTCCTTACAGAGCCTTGACAGATGAAATTAAGTTCTGGAAAATTGTTACTATGCTGTATGACTCTTGACTTGAAACATTTTTGCAGTGATGTCAGTTAGGTGGGGTAAATATTGAATTCTCATATGATATAGAGACACTGATAGCAAGAGCATACACAAGATGCTTTGCTGTGTAGTAGCATAGTTTACTACACAGTAAGTGTGTGCGTCTACACGTGCACAGGATTACTACACAGTTAACCTTGCTAATCACTTGTTATTACTTACTGTGCAGTAGTATTTATGTAGACACCTGATCGGGAGCAAATCTTCCCGTAGCCAGCCAGCCACCAGGAGGCAGGAGATTGCTCCTTGCCCCCAGGAGCTGCCTGCTGTCAGGGGCGGGCTCTGCCACCAGAGCCCAGGCGGGACTATGTCTCCCCACCCTAGTAGTAGGGAGCTCCAAATTCCCTGCTCTGAAATCACAGTTTCAGAGCAGGGGTCTGGGAGCAGGGATCTGGGAGATCCTTATCTCCTTGTGCTGGCCCCACCACCATGAAGCTGTTGCTGGGGGCTGCTCCCTGCTGGTGGGGGCTGGGGAGACTATTCCCCCTCAACTCTGTGAACACAGTTCGGCGGGGAACAGGCTGGGGAATCTGTTCCCTGCCCAGCTTCACAATCACAGAGCTGAGCAGGGAACAAGCTCTCTAGCCCCTGTCCTGTGAAGGAGCAGGGCCTGGGAACTGTCCTAGCTAGGGGCATTGGGTGATCAAGGCATGTGGCTTGGAAAGACATGTAGGGGAGGGGCAGGTCCCAGCCCCCTAACCCAGGAGGAGCAAGACCCAACCCCCTACAGAGCTGGGAAGCTGGTGCCAGGAGCTTCCTGCTGCTGGGGCAGGAGGACATGGTGCCTACCTCAACAGCAGACAGACCCCAGGGGCAGTGTGCAGTGTCCCAACCCCGCCCAGGACACAGCTGTCTCCTAGCCTGGTCCTCCCTGCCAGCCCCTGGGCTAGCACCCAGCGGGAGCCTAGAGCTCTCCATGGTAGTGGCAGGGGCCCATTGCAGGGCCCCAGGAAGTGGGAGCAGTTTGCTGCCATTAGTAGCAAATCTATTTCCACTTACCTGCACGTGTAGACACCTGCCTGGGAGATATTACTAGTGAGTAGTTTACTAGTGTGTAAATTGCTCATGCATGAGATGCATGCGTAGATACACCCACTGAAGCTAAAAATTCCGATTAAAAATGCCTTAATGCTGTATGAATCAGATTTATAATATACAAGGGGTTTTGTCTTCATGAAAAATGCTGGATATACTTCTTATGTTCCCTATACACCTGCGTGATAGATTTCCACATGGAAAAGAACCAAATAAGTCTTGACAGGGCCCTAAAAATCTTGCTAAAGCATCCATTGGGCATGTCTACATGTTCATTAATACGCATTTAGTTTAGTACTTGCCTCATGATGTACTAACTAAATGAGCAGTAACTACAGTTACTGTGCAGTAGCACCGGAGCATGGTTTTTTGTGATGCTTACTGTGCAGTAGCCTAATAACACTGTGCAGTAGTGTATTACCATGCTTTTTGACCGGCACACTACTGAGCAGTGTTATTAGGCTACTGCACAGTTAGCATCTCATGGAGACGTGCCCATTATCTGCTTGTGCCTCAAAGGTCTACAGTGATTAAAACGTATCAGCTTCCACAGCCACCAACACACAGGGAAGCAATGTGGCTAACATCTGAGTGTGGCCATCTCTGGATCCCTGTTTCTAATAATGGAGTTGACTGGTTGTGGCCTTTAACATGAATCCAGAACAATTAATGAATTTACAATTCTGGAGCTGCTGTGAGATGCCTCAAGTGCCCTGCCATTATGCCTTTATCTAAATGAAAATAACAGTATCTGAAATATATTTATGTCCTGAAAACCCTTAGTCCCAAAAGTCTATCTGACTGATTCTTCTATACTTACTCATTCAGAGAATTAGTAACTTCAGTCTAATAAAGCTAACTCCCTCTCTTGAGTCTTCTATGATAGATTATCCCAGCCAGCATTCCCCACATATGCCATATCATGTATAGGGACAAAATAATATAAGGGAGAGTCTATCAACTGTACTGTGGCATATTAGGAATGGTGCTGTTTTACTCATGGCCATGAGAAGTATACAGATACTTTGCTGCAACAATCTAGTACTGTATTTTTCAACATCATAGTAAGGATGCTTCTAAACTTTGGATTGCATAGGAAATTTTCAGCAATGACATAGGCTTTTCTGTAAAATAGTTTGGGAGGGTTTTGCCATAGGTTGCATTAGGGGCAGAATTAGGAGTGTATAAGTGCAAAGTCTAAACCTACTGCCTAACAGATTTTTACTAAATAAAGTTAAATTACAAGATTGTAGCTGTCTTTCTGCCCTGGACAGGCAGATCTGGTCTATGTGAATTATGGTCGCACGGAAGACTTTTTAAAGCTGGAACGTGAGATGGGAATTAACTGTACAGGAAAGATCGTCATTGCCAGATATGGGAAAATCTTCAGAGGAAATAAAGTAAGTTTTTTTTTTTTTCTTTCTTGAAAATCATAATTAGTTAGCAACATTTCTGATTTTGCTTGCATTGGAATTGATGGAAATGTAATGAGAAACAGATTCAGCCACTACATTTAACCTTCGCTTCTGAATGGTTACAAAGAAAGATATCATTTATCATTTGTATAACATAAAATGTTTTATTATAACTTGGAACATAGAGCCTGAGCTGTTCCCAGAATCAGGCTTGGAGTGTCTGTGGCATAAGTGCATCCAAATGGTAATTCACAAAAAATATTGATTAGTTGGCTATTGAAACTCACCAAGATGAATACAAACTTCTAAAAACATGTTTCAACAGATTCACAAAAAGATATAGAAAACTAGGGCTGGAACAGAATTCAAGAGATCATCTAATCCAACACCCTGCTCAAGGCAAGGTCATAATTCTTTAAAAAAATCCAACGCAATTGTTTTTCCAACCTGTGCTTAAAAACTCCGAGTGATAGAAACTCCACAGCCTCTGTAGATCAGCAGCCTACAGCCCTCAGAGCTATCGGATCTGGCTTTAGCAGTCTGGGGCCTTTAGAAGCACTTGGCAGAGGGAGCTTCTCCCATGCCACAGTGGGAAGAAGAGGAAGTTAAGAGATCTTTCCCTTTGCTGTGGTGGGGAGAAGCAGTGGCAGCAGACGGGTCCTACTGCCTGCCTACCTCTGACCTCAGATAGGTCATTCCAGCCTGAAAAGTTGCTGACAGATAACCTGCATCCAGTGGCATAACAATGGGGAGGTTGGGCAGAATGGGAGCATCGTGAGCCCTTGCGGGGGGCAGCAGGTGCCCTTGGGGGGGCATCTTGGGCCCTTGGGGAGAGGGCCTGGGGGAGGGAGCACCCGCTGGGCCCTTCAGGGGATATTTACTCCCCTGGCGGCACTTCTGGTTTCACTGCCAGCACTTCCAGTTTTACTGCTGGCTTTTCTGACCTCGGCAACTGGCTCCCAGGAGACTCAGCGATGAGCTGCCAGGTGGGACTTCCTGGCGATCGGCTGTGGATGGAAGGAGGAGAGGGGAGAGCGGGGCGGCGCAAATGCAAGCATTGGCCCCCGGGCACCCATGGTATGCCACTGCCTGTATCATGCAGGTATTAAATTTACACCCAATTAGTTACTACACAGTAAGGCATGTGTAGATGCCTTACTGCACAGTAACACTGTGTGTGTGGACTGAGTTGGGACTAACTTTAGTTGTGTTAATGTGTTTTAATGGCTGCACAGGTAGACAATGCCTATTCCTGCTTACTGCGCACTAACTTCCTGTGTAGTACATTTAAGCCAGCATAAATGCACATGTAGACAAGCCCAGTGAGTACTATAGAGTTGAAGCATTTTGAAGAGGAAGGTATCATTAACACTCTATAATAGGAAAACCAAAGTACAGCGGGTAAATGCTTTTCTAAAGTTATTCAAGTAGTCAGTCTGGCAGGGAGCATTAGATAGCACCCAGATCTCCTGACATGGTCTTGTGCCCCATCTTTAGGACAATGAGATTCTGGTCAATGATCAGTTCTTCTTGGTGCTATGGTAACATAATCAACAGCGTGCTACATTTTGACATATTTTTCCATTGAGATAATGATGACTCCACCTCTGTCATGTGCAATCTTTAACATGTCTCCCAATTGGCAACATGATATAAAGTCCAGGTTTGTCTTAGCTCCATAAAGACATTTGGCATTTCCTAAAGACAGATAATTTTGTAGGTTAAAAATGCCATATTAGCAGGAGCCAGAGGCGTTATACTTTATTCAGACCCTGCTGACTACTGTGCACCTGGAGTAGATCCCTATCCAAAGGGCTGGAACCTTCCAGGAGGTGGAGCCCAGCGTGGGAATGTGCTGAACCTGAATGGTGCAGGAGATCCCCTCACACCAGGTTACCCAGCAAAAGGTGAGTGACAGATTCATAACCTGAAGCATATGATACCAGTACTTTCTATCCTAGTTCTGAAAATTGTCCTGTCACTAGCAATTAAGCTAATGTTTTCTCTTAAAGTGCAAAGCACAAATGGTTTCCAGCAACATTTGATTTCCCTTGTGTGGATCAGGCTCAATTCATAACTGCATCCTGTTCCAGCTGGCTTCCTTTGAGCTAGACAGGAAAAACAGTTTCTAGGCAAATCTCTTTACATGTGATCCAAGCTTGAGACCATTTACAAATCCGGAACCGGATAGACTAAGCAATAGAAAATTAGTTAGGATTTATTGAGTTTTGGAAAGAGCTATGTTTCTCAAGAGGACCGATTTACACTGGCTTATAGCTGCCATCAAGGAGAAGTAATAGCTTTGCTTGGATATATATTTCCTTGATGATCATAAATTCCAAGCAGAAAAAACACTGTAAACTGTTTACAGGGAATGAAACTTTTGCATTGAAGTCACAGTAGCCACTGTAGCCAATGGGTGCATCTACTCGTGCACTTTACTGTGGAGTTGACTAATTAGCTTCCCAGTAAAGCGTCACAGTGTACATGTGTGCCACTATTAGGATGCAATAAATTAATTAGTATAGTGTAGTACTATCCTATGGAGGAGTAACTTACTGCACCAAAATGCATGTGTATATGGTAACCAAGACTGGCTGGGGCATGAGGGTACTAAAGTCTGCCACCTAGCCCTGCACTGTAGCACTCTCATGCCCCAGCCAGCTCCTCTGCAGTCTGATGCCACCACCCAGAGCCTGGGGCTGACCCCCACCAGGACCCCTTGCCAGTCCAGGGATGTTTTGCCCTGACTCACACTGTTGTGGTCCCAGGCACACAGGTAAACACTGTGCCCAGGAGCAGCTGACTCCGGCATGAAGTTTATTGCTGCAGTTTGTTGCATCTCACTAGTAGTATGTGTAGATGCACCCAATGGTATTAATATCTGTCCTATGACAGGATGCTGATTTACTGGAGGTGACATAATGGGAGAGGGTATACATAGACCTTTGTGGCTACTAAACAGCTCTTTATTGCTAAAAAAATAATTCTAGTTAATATGCAAACTGATGAGGATAGTAAAACTTGATATTACAATATTTTTGGTTTCTCAGAGTACACTTTCAGATATGAAGTTGATGAAGGAGTAGGAATACCTGTAATCCCAGTTCATCCCATTGGCTATTATGATGCAGAAATATTGTTACGGTAGGTGGACTTCAATCTTCTCCACATGGACTGGGTATTCCTATGTGTACTGCTTTCTTTGTATAAATATATTAAGGCTGATGCATGACTGTTTCTGTGTAATACAATTTTAATGAATACTACAGAAATAGAAAACAAGGACAAACACCTGGCAAAAACAAAAAAATGAACAAAAGCATATTTTTAAGAAACCATAAAAACTCTGTTTTCCACAAGGGAGAAATACTGCTTTTCCACAAGGGAGAAATAGTGGTCCAGACACCTTTTTTTTATTATTTTTCCTGCTTTAAATCTGTATCCTTATTTTAGTCTTGGTAAGAAACTTCTATACACCTTACTGAATCTCAAGGTAATTTACAGGCATTCTGAATACTTGGCATGTTATATGAAAGCAGGAACTTTCTGAAGCCTACCTCTTATGCAGAATATAACATTTTAAATTTAGCTTGATTGTAGGTGTGATGTTCTGCTTTTTACATATTGACCAACTGTGTTTGTCTTGGTTTTCACTTAACAGCATCATGGGAGGACCTGCAGCACCTGATGACAGCTGGATGGGAAGCCTCAGCGTGCCTTACAACGTAGGGCCTGGATTTATGGGAAACTATTCTGCAAGGTTTGTCTGAGCACTTCTGTTGCAAAAAATTAAAGTGGGGGCTGGGAGGGAGACAAGAAAAGCTAAGGAGGAAATGTGTATGGTTTTGAGGAATTTTATACCTGGAAACATAGAAAAGAAATTAAGTCCCCTTTGGGAAGATAGTATTATTGGATGATCACTAGTATTTGAAATAATACTAAATTGTTAAAACTATGGGCTTGTTCAGTGCTCTTGGAAGTCAATGGCAAGACCATCACTGAGTTTGGACACTGGATGCCATCGAGTTCAATGGGTATTATAATTAACTCGTGGAACTCATTGCCATAAGACTTTGTAGAAATCAACAACTTAACCAGGTTCAGAAGAAGATTTTGACAAATTCACGTAGTATAGTTCTATTGCAATAAGAAGCCTGGACAGGCCCTGAACAAATACTCTCTTCTTAGTATCTGCTCTGTATCACTGTGGCATACACAATACTGGGCTAGATGGACCCATGGTCTGACCTACTATGACGTCTCTTCTGTTCCCATGAATCTGACTTTGTATATTTCTCTTCCTAACTCATATACTAAGTTAAGGCACTGTTTCCATCTTTAAAATGTAATATTGGACAATGAGGCCTGTCTTTTTTCTACTGAAAAGCATATATTTAAAACCCTCTTCTCTTTACGTTGGGTCCTGTCCTTTCCTATTGTTTCTGAAAACTAAGGTGACAAGAGACTAGTATTCTGAAGTGGGAGGGGAAGGAGCAATTCCCTAAGTTGCCTAAGTGCCTAAGTGGTTGTTTACTCTTGTCCTCACCTTTCCCACACCCCACGGAAGTCTTTCTAGGAACTTTCTTTGGCGTTAGATCCCAGAGGACTGCTGTTTCTCCGGAAGGTCTGGAAAAAAAAGTACTTTAAAATGAGAATCTCTTAAAAGGCAAAGAAAAGGCAAAGCTTTTTAAATTGTCATATTTTTGAGAGGGGTACATCACATCATTTTTTAATGCTGGGGTGGTCCAGTACACTCATTATATACTACTTTGCAAAATGAAACAAAACCAGTCCGTTTCCCTGGTAGTAGTGGTATCGACCATGTTTGACAGAGAACTGGTTGATAACATGGTGGGTGCTGTCTCTTCCTAGTTTTTCAATAGGATGAATGTTGCTCCTCCATCCTAGTTTCCATCTGGTAGATTACATTACAGTCGTGGCTGGCAACCTTTTCAGGCTGTGGGTTGATGTCACCCATTTTGGGTCAGAGGTGGGCAGTTTCCCCCATGGCACTGTGGTGGAAGCACCTGCTGCCCTCCCTTCTCCCCATGGCTGAAGCTCCCTGGTGTTGAAGCCCCAGGCCTGTAGAGCCATTGGCTGCAGACTGTAGGTTGCCAACCCCTGTAGCTTATAACTATGTTACTACAGTAATGTGCAACATAAGCCCTGGCTGCAGTCATTTCAGAGGTCATGTTCCATCACAGGAGGGAGGGTAGATGGTGAGGACAATCATGAACAGGATGGGATAGTGATGATATATGTGTTATGTCCCTTTCCACCCAGGAATATGGATGTGCTTTAAATTTTAAATTTCAGTATCTGTGTTTAAAATCCAATTAAAATTTCTAAGGCATGCAGACAAACTCTGACAGAATAGATTTTATTATGAGACAAGCCAGGCAAATGTTTTGAGCAGATTGGAGGGCAAGAAACAGTAAGAGAAGAAATAATAAAATAAATTAACAGAACGCATTATGTTAGGCTGCTAGACTCATTCCATGAGGAATTGGAGAAGGACTTTCGATATTTCTTAAATATCTAACCTGCTTGATTGTAACCTGTAAGTAAGATCCTAGAGAATCAGCCCTGGATTCAGTATGTATTGATCCTGCATAAACTTAAGGAACAGAGAAATTAAGAATATAAATAGTCCTGTTAAGTGCAGTGGGACTATTACTCACATATGAAAAATTAATCAATGGTATTACTATTTGCAGGCCCAAGTCTTTCAGGTTAGCTTCTCTTCTGGGCAAAAATTCATTATCTGTCTTGAAGAAGGTATTGGTTTTGACAGCTATATAGCTTTGCCATTGAGATGTTGCCCAGTGCAGATAAATGTGTATTTTGTTTTACAGAGAGAAGCTGAATTGAATATTTACCCTTCATTTACAGAGTTGCTCATAATGGATTTTCATTTCTGTTAGTTGGGTTCTTTTTTTGACAAAGATTGACACTTTGCTCTGCCATCTTAAAATTTTTTTTAAATATTAAATTTATTCCTCTGCTTTCACTGTTTAGTTGTTACATACCATTCTGACAGCAGCTTTTGTAATTACCATTTAATCACATTTTATCATTACTTTTCTATAAAAATGCAGCTTGTTTTTTTGAGCTTGTTAAAAGTATATTTGCATAAGTAAGTATTGTCATAGCATCATGTGTCAAAATTGAATATATTTCCAGTGTTTTGTGTGTGTATGTGTGTGTGTGTGAATTGGAGACCTGATGTTAATTTACTCCTCTGTTTTATGAGTATTTTAGGCTGTTTTACTGCCATGCGCCTAATTAATACTAGAAGTGCACCAAAAAAGATTTTTTTGGGCTGATACCGTTGGCTGATTTTTAATGAGCCATATCAGCCAATACAGATCTGATAGCTGATATGTGGCCTGGCAGCATAAAGAACAGCTTCTGGCTGGTAAGTCTGTTGTGGTGGAAGGGGTGGGGGAGGTAAGGGGCATTGGG